CTGCACAAGTTATTGAAATCCCATCGGCAAAGCCCTAGCCATATACTGTAATAACCACCAGCAAAATAAAACCCCAGAAGATCAAAATCCTGGGGGTGAACTGGAAGGACTCCAAATGCTGATTCGATATCTCATTTTCCTAACTCCACCCCATCCCACAACTCCGTACCATGCACATGGCCTCGTCAAAGGACATGTAATGGACACTGCACAGTTTTTGAGGGATTCTATCATTAACCGATTCACTCTCAGGAAAAGATACCGTATAGACACCCCCATGTATAAGACACCCCCCTTTTCTAATCCAAAATTAAGAAATCTAAGTGGGGCTTAGCAGGTGTAGGGGGAAGTTCAGTTCTACACCGTGCATCTCAGAAGGGCCAGGCTAGCAGGCCTTGAGCAACCTATGTAGCCAGGACACCCCTAGAAGAATGAAATGATAAACCACTTCTGGGGACTCACTACCTGGAAAACACTGAAAAGGTTTTTCAGAATTGACTTGATGGCACATAATTATTTATTGTTAAATTATGGAAATTACTATTGTATCCTCTGAGGCTGATTGGAACACAGTTCTCCTAATGCTTGGAAGAGAACAGGTACCCTGGTCCCCGCCAGTCCCTTCTGTTTCTGCCTCTTTCCTTTTCTGCTTCTAACACAGCCCTTGAAGACGTAGGGTCTGTTAGTGAATGAAGATCAAATGTTCTCCTTCCACTTTCTACTGGCTGCAGCTTGTTCCGTGTCATGTTTCTGGTGCAGAGTGGCATAGCTTTTCTGGCTTATGACTGGATCAGTCTACAGCCAAAACAAATCACAGAATCGGTTTCAGCCCACAGCCCTCAGTGGAACAATTTTCTCCAGTGACAGTGTCATTGGCCAGTCCCCTTATTCAGTGGCCAAGCAGCAGTACTAGGCCAGGAAAATCTCAGTTCCCTAAAATTCCAGGTGGAAACCTTGATACCAGAGGATTGGCCATTGTGATGTCACAGAAGGAGGCAGGCAAGGATTGGGAAAGGGGCTAGAACTCTTCAGAGTGAAACCTGGTTAGCCATGGAATATGGCATGCTAGATCCTGAGGTGTGCTTGTGTGCAGTTTTCTTGGCAGGGCAGGCAGAATAATGTGTTTAGCACCTATTACAATTGCCACAGTTTCTACAAGACTTCGCGTCCTGCACAGCCTTATATAAGAAAGGCTTGGTGAGTCTCTTCTGGGACTTAATACTGCTGTTGTGGTTTGTGGAAAGCTCATTACCATCCTATGCGGATGTGTTTGCCCCCTCCATGCCATGTGGTACTGCTGCCAGGACGTGGGTAACAAAAAGGTGAATGAGTCACATTGCTTCTGCTCTATTCCTTGCCTGGTTCCAAATGGCATTCTGGCTTTAGTTGTGTACACCCATTAGTTCTCTCCCTAATCCCCTCCTCTAGCTTCTAATTTTTTTGGCATGCTAATAATGTGAAAGCCCAACAAATATACAGTAATTTTTGCAGTGAATTGCACAGGTGGATCTCTGGTGGAGATGGATCTCTGGTCACCAGATATTCTGTATTTCCACTGCTGCTCACCCTGATATTTTCCTTCCCACCTGGAGACATGCAGAAATATAGTGACTCCTTAGGACTTCAACCTGTGTCCTCAGACCTGGCTACTCTAAGCATGGCAGATGTAATCTATTGCCAAAGGCTAGAGTCAAATGCTATCGGACCAGGGCTCAGGAGAGGGATGGAGCTGGCTGGCAGCCTGCTATCATAACTGGGCCATGGATTGAACAGGAGTTGTCTCCCAGAATATGGGTGAGGGGTAGAGATGAGCACGAGTTAAAAATTTGGCATTTATATGTTCTGGGGGGACTGTTTTATAGGGTTTTTAAAATAAAAAATGACAAGTTGATTAATTAATTCATCAGAAAAAAACATAAATTTGTAATTTGTGATTTGTCAACCTTGATAAATCACAAATCAAAACAAATAACTTTTTTTTTAAAAAAAAATTCATGCCCGTCTTCAGTGAGGAACTCTTGCTTGGTCCATGAGCTTCCCGTGCTTGCTACACCATGAGGCCACCAGCTGTATACAAACAGAAAGTCTCAGATCACACCAGTGCGTAAGACCTGAGCTCCTAGTTGGGCCATGGTCCTTCTATGCAGCAGATGTAGATTTTGAAGCTTTGCTTCTAAGATTACAGCATAGTCTTTGATTTATTTTGCCACAGAGACTACCTGGTAGTACTCTCTCAACTCTGTGTTGTGGCACTGCAGGTTTCACAGGCTTCTGAGAAAGAAAATGGTTTAAACTAAAAAGTGCTGCTCAACATACTGTCAGGGTGATGCTATGATGCAAAAAACACAAAAACTTTCTACTAGTTGTATCTTTAGCTTGGTCTGGTCTATGATTACAATGCTGCCCGTTATGCTTACAACATATTCCAAAGTGCAGGCCTAATCTTACTCTTTCTTCCGTGACTGACATCTATGGGAAAAGCTCGGAAGTTTCTCTAGGGAGTTGGTAGCATGCTGAGATAGTTAAAACTGTATCTGTCCAATTAGAGCTCAATTGAAAATCAGCCGGTGGCTAGTTGATTTAATAGTCGGGATCCACAGACACAGAGAGTTTATTTCTTAATTTACTATGCAAATGTGAACATACATTTGAAGTAAAAAATGTTGCCTTGAAGCAGCATAGCAGAGCAAAAAGAAACTTAGGCCTTGTATGTAATTTGTGTTCAGCACTAGCTGTATTGCATGAGACAACCTTCAGATCCCAACTCCCCCCCCCCGCCTGCTGGCTTCTTCATTTGTTTCAACCATATTTTGCATTGTAGATGCATTTATGGAAATGATTTTTCACTCAGTAGCCTATTGATAATCCCTTACCTTGAACAATCATTCCTTGAACAAAATGGTGAATTCAGCTCCCTTGAGGTGAGAGAGGCTACATGTAGGTCGAAAGCATCTATTTGCTTAGTTTCAACATTGTAAACTGAGAAACATAGCATAATTTCATTTGTGGTTAGATCTGCAACTGAGGTTAAGCTGTGCCATACTGGTTCTCTTAAGGTAACATGTTCCAACTTGGTATCTTCTAAATTATTTGGACTTCAAATCTCATCATCCCAATTCATGATGTCTGAGCCTAATGGGCTTTGAAGTATAACACATCTAGATAGTTTGGGAAAGGTTACAATGACTTAGCTCTCTACCTGAGGCAAAATCTGAAGAAGCTCCTCCATTCTCAAATCCATCATTCTATAATGTTATCCTATGAACAGCAATTAACTAGTAACCCAATACTCTCTAGTCTTCCTTTTTGTCATATACTTTATTTAGTCCTGGAAAGGAAAAATGGGAAAACTCTGTGTTCCTTTCTTTCTGCCCCCTGAAATCCTCACCAGAAGTGATCCAGGGTTGTGCATTTGGGGAATTAGACAAGTTCATGTAGTTTGATTTGTCCAGGGCTCCATGGACAGCAACACTTCACTCACAGAAGGTGGCCTTGTGAGGATGTCAAGGCGGTGGTGGATCCCTTATCTTCATCAGCACCACAGCTCATCTCATGCAGTCTCTAACTCTCTCTGCAGCATGTTTACGGGGTTGGAGAGGTTCATGGAGAGAAAGTCATTCCAACTGCATGCATCCAAATCTGGATCAACTCTTTAATTTGCATGCCCCTGCATTTCAGTCCACTCTGGTTATCATTTCATAGCTGATGACAATAAAATCAGTGTGGGCTCTGCAGACTACGAAGGAGACATTCCGCTGTCACAATTTCAAAGGGAAAGATGCATGCTTTGACCTAATGGCTAAAATCTTGTTGCTTAGTTACTCAAATGGCGGAGCTTTTAGATTTACATTTTTATAAGTGAAGAAATCTCTGTAGGCGTTATCTGTTGCATGCTGAGCTATATGACTTGATGTGCAACAGATGTTTATGGACATTTCTTAACTTACAGAAATGTGCATCTGACAGCTACACCATTTGAGTAATTAAGCAACAGGGTTCCAGCCATTATCAACTACAGATATTCACTATAGTGCTATCCAGATTGATGCCACATTGAATGCTATATGAGTTATGGAAAACCTTGTCAGTTTCTGAAGTGACAATACCCCCTAGCAGGACCAGCATACTTCATCTCATGATTTTTCTATTCCCCTATTCAAATTCTATTCTGAAGAGGAGAACCGAGGCATTTGATTTTTCAGAGTAGAGAAGAATACATAGTATATATCCTAGCCTCTACCAGTACTTATTGAAAGAGGATGAGATCATAAGAACCATATTGTTGGTTCTATGCTGCCAAGAGACTTAGGATTTTAGCTTCCCAGAAACATGCTTCCAAGACGCTATATCACAAGGTTCTTGAAACCAAGAGGAATTTCAACTGCAGCTTTAATGGGAATGTGGAATTCAGAGGGAAAAACAAACTAATGAATGGCTCATTGTCATATCAAATGAAGTCTTCACATCAGGCTGAGATACAAAGGACATTGTAGTTACGTTTTGTATATACTGTACAGACTTTGTTTCAATGAAAATACTGTTATATCAGCAACACATTTGTATTCTGTGAATTACTTATAAAAGGTGCACCTTATTGTTTAGCTAGCCCTTCAGACACAAAAGGAGTTGTGTCAGTTGCATATGAAATTAATCAATGTTGCTAATCTTTCAAGGCTATGCTGTTGCCTTTTTCTTGCTATCTGACTTCATTGCCAGCTTAGTTATTATATATGTATGTATTTATGTAGATGTTCATTCATTTATGGAAAGCTGCAGTATTTCATTGCATTTTCACACCTGGTTGAGCACAATAATGTGAGGTATGAAAAACATGTACGTTGGAAACTATGTGTCAATATCTTTTAATTATTTTGAGCTTCTCAGTTGCCCCCGTGTAGACTTTTGAAATCCATTAAGCATTTTTTTTCATTGTGAGCAATGGAATAAGATATCACTAAAGATAACAGGCAGTGGTTTCCATGCTTGAGTAGATTCATTACCTGGTTAAATTCTTTTGCTTTGTGCCATCTATTCTTATTAAACCACGTGGGCAAAGATGGAAGCTGCTAATAGTTGTACTTGTAATCTTGATAGGATACCTTACACATCTGTCAAATGAAAATAGGTGTCATTGTCTCACTTTATAGAAAATAGTCATTTACTATAGCCAAGCACTTAGCAAATGTAATAAGAAATGTAGGTATAGGGCAGCGATGGCAACCCTATGGCATGTGTGCCACAGCTAGCACACGGAGCCCTTTCTGCCAGCACACGAGCCATAAGTCGCCAGATCACTACTCCCCCCCCGTGCAGCCAAACATGCGAAGGCGGCTGCAGCCGCAATGCTGGCGCTTCGGCAGGCGGATCTAGAGCAGCTTGTGCTGACGGTGTATCTGGAGTGGGGTCTCGAGGTACCTCCGTGCTGGGATTCCCCCCTTCACTGCCACTTCTGGTTCCACCGCCGCCACTGCACAGTTTGGGCACATGAGCCCAGAAAGGTTCGCCACCACTGGTATAGGGTATGCTTGGTGAGCACACATCTATAGAACATCTTGACAAAAATCTAGTTTAAAATGAACACTTGTCAATCCTGTCCAGATTCTGTGACTAAATGAGGTATCCTTTTCTGTGGAATAAATGCTAGCATTTCATTACAGGCCAGGTTTGAATGTAATTATAGGTCAGGTTCTATCACTCTAAGCAGAAATTGAGTTGTGGGGGAGAGGGCTTGGCAGTAGGTTCTGTGGCTTAAACTCCCTGGAGAGCAAGTGAGGCACAGATGAGGCAAGACGTGCGATCAGGTGTTCCACATCAACTTTATCTTGAATATCATGTAGCACTACAGTAAAGCTATGAACCTCATAATCATTTGGGTTCCTTATTCTGGCTTTGGACTAATGAGCATAACTAATGAGAAATATTCATGCACCACCACATAGAGACTGCTGCCAGCAGGTGTTTTGCATAGTACCTGTTATGGGTCTGGCACTTTACATTTATGGCAGGAATAAAGGAGGTTGGATGTTAACACCAGAAAGAAGTGATAAGTGGAAGGGCTTCCAAGGTGCAATCCTGTTGCCATAATTACAACAGCATAAACTGGATCCAGGTGCTAGAAGTTATTAATTTAAATAAATTGAAAGCTTATTAGCACTTCTTTTCAGGCCCCGAGGCTCCCTTTTTGTCCTGAGAAGTATTTGGGAGACTTGGGAGGGGGAAGGAAGCCTTTAATAGTTAAAAATTACTTCCGGATTGCTGCTGCCAGGAGAGGGATCATCATCAACAATCCCCTGACAGTTTTTGACTATTAGAGGCTTCCCTCCCCCACCCAGTTATAAGGCTCCTGAAAGCTTGCCATGGCAAAAGGGAGTCCTAGGGAACCCCAGGCCCAGAAATGGGGTTTGGGGAGGCTTTCCATTCATTTTAATTAATTATTTCTGGCTGAATCCAGTGTACAGTAGCATGTCTGACGGTCCATGTCATTTTTTTTTCTTAATGTGGCATCTTGAAAGCATAACTTTGCAACAGAAAAAGTATGCAGGATAAAGTTTGTCTGCTTAATTTTTAATATAAGCGTAATTTCTAATATAATATGGTACATGTATAAGCTCATTGAGAGCATTTTGGAAGCAAAGAAGCACTAGTCTGTAATTAGGCTGCAAAACAAAAGTAACACATTCCTGCTCAAAACCAGGACACTCACTGCCATGTGTGTTTGCTACTCTACACCTTTCCCCAGCTGTTCCGTGGGGCTAAAAAGGTTAGGGACTGCTGTCTTGGGAACCGACCAAGAAACAGTCATGTTAAAAAATGTATTTCTTAAAAATCTGCGAAACAGGTGGGTGATCCTTTAAACTTGCTTTGGCTGTTCTCCCTTGCAATGATGCTAGGGAAGCACAGCAGCTAGCACCAGGCATACCAAGTCATTAGCAGCAGTATCACTCTTACAATTATCATATCAAAAGAGTTCTCCATCTCCCACTGTGTCCCTAATGGGCCCATAAAGGAAATTAGAAAAATGTATTCTTAAGGAAACTGGAAATCATTCCATTTTGAAAAAAATAGAAGGCTGCCTACTTTCAGTTGTGTTTTTTTCATCAACTATAAGTCTTGACAAAAGACTAAGTTTGTGCAAGAAATACTCTAACAATGTTATTATTAAAATTATCCCAGTTTTAACAGAAACCTCCACATACATTCATAGCAAATGTCTGATGAACACTATGCCATAAATAGCACATGTTGCAGAATAAATTTCATGATCTGGCCACTGAAAGGGAGAGAGAGAGGGGAGTGAGTGAGAGACTGAGAGAGCGAGATTCAGAATTATATACTACAGGATTATCTTAAATGTATTTGTTTTTTGTTCTTGCTGTGCAGCACCCTGAAATCTGACAGCATGAAACCCAGTATATAAATGTGTAATGTAAAATAACGGGCATAATTTTTGTTGTTATTGTTTCTGATTCTTTTTCTCTCTTTTCCTCCTTTTTTCTATACGTTTCTTAAAACTACCTCAAGCTCTATGGGAAAAACAGGGACAATGATGCATACCGATTCACTTAGTTATTTAAGTTAACCTTAGTCACAGATTATAAGGCAACAGCTGCTAGTACATGTGTTGATAACTTGCATTGGTGTGGTCACATTTGCTGATCATTGAACTACTTTGAAGCCTAATGATTCTAAGTACTGTATACATAAGCAGTGAGAATGCAGTTGGCCATTCCTGCTTTGAAATAGCACAGTAAAAACCTTACCTGGAGGCGCTTTTATAAGCTGCCTTTCAAGATACACAATTTTTATAATGCAGTGTACAAAACACATTGAATTAAAATACACATAACTACCTTAAGTTTGTAAGTGAAGGAACAACAATCAGCAAAAAGACCAAGAAAAATATCATATCATTTCACAATTACGTGCACCAAACTACTACTGATGACTAAAGGCTTGTTATTAGAAACTGTCAAGAGCGAAGAGACACCTGCTTTGTTAGCATGAATATGGGTCATTCCACATGTTGCAAATTAGCTCGGTTTTGTTTGGATGAGTGGTTGCTGGAGAATAAACTCAAGCTTCATTTACAAATCTGATTGCTCAGACAGGAATGACTTGTGTGCTACAAGGAAAATGTAATAACAGGAAATAAACATTTTCTGTCATATGTAGGGTAGCCAGATACATGGGTACCAAAAGGAGGAAACAGACAAAAAAGAGGACAGAGGAGGAGGTATTGAATGTTTCATTTGAATCATTCTGGATTAAACCCACAATCAATACAATTTTATTACAATAGCTGCTAATAAATGTCTATTCGTGCAGAGATCCCCAACCCCCGGTCCGCAGCCTGGTGCCGGTCTGTGGCCTGAGCCGGACTGGACAGCGGAGAGAGACCTCCTCCCTACCTCTGCATGCACTCTCCCCCGCACAGCTCATTTGCGCCTGTGCACGAGCACCTGCACAAGCGCTGTGCCACCCTTTGCACATGCGCACGAGTGCGCGCACATCCACACAAGCTCTGCACTGCCCTTTGTGCATGTGCACAAGGAACTGCACAAGTGTGCACGCCTTCACACATGCACACAAGCGCAGGGGGTGCCTCGCCTTCCCCAGCTGGTCTACGGGGCTAAAAAGGTTGGGGACTGCTCTCTTAGTAAACCGACCCAGAAATAGTTATGTTAAAAAAAAAAAAAAATCAATGGAGGCTTTTTTCCCAAAATCGTGCAGAGGTCCCCAACCCCCGGTCCGCAGCCCGGTGCCGGTCTGTGGCCTGAGCCAGACTGGGCAGCGGAGAGAGACCTCCTCCCCACCTCCACATGCACTCTCCCCCCACAGCCCATTTGTGCTTGTGTGCGAGCACCTGCACAAGCGCTATGCCACCCTTTGCACATGCACACGAGTACGCGCACATCCACACAAGCTCTGCACTGCCCTTTGTGCATGTGCACAAGCACCTGCACAAGTGTGCACGCCTTCACGCATGCACACAAGCACAGGGGGTGCCTCCCCTTCCCCAGCTGGTCTACGGGGCTAAAAAGGTTGGGGACCGCTGTCTTAGTGAACCGACCAAGAAACAGTCATGTTAAAAAATAAAAATAAATTCAATGGAGGCTTTTTTTTCAAAATACCAAAAATATTATTTAAACAGCCAATTTACAATTATTACCTTATAATCTTTACATATTGTGGCCCCTGCTGTTGTTGCTCCTTCACTTGCACCAAGGCGAGCTCTGTGAGAAGGTTCCCCTTTCTTTCCCACCTCTTTTTGTGGGGCCGGCGGCAGATGCCGCCTCTTCCCCCTCTCCTTTCTCTGGCAAGTGCCTGGCGCAGAGCCATGCTTTTGCTCTGGCTCCCCTTCCCTGCAGCTTCACTTCTTCTCTGCCAGCCTTCCTCAATCTTTCCTAGCCACTGCCGCCGTCTCTCCTTTCTCAACTCCTGCTGCTTGCTCGAATACCTCCAGGTAAACCCACAAACATTTCCCCCTTATTAAAAAAAGATCCTGCCCTTCTCCGGCTGCCGCTCTCTCCCGACTCTTCTTCTCTCCTTTTGTTTTGCCTGTTCCCTTTCACTCGTGGTGTTTGTGTGTGCGTATGTATGTACATTTTGTAAAATATTACAAAATCCAGACATTTTAAAGGTTTTTAGCTTTGTCTGCCGGACGGACATTAGACTAAAAAGGAGGACATGTCCTCTTTTTGGCTGATGTCTGGCAGCCCTAGTCATGTGGGATTTAACCGTCACTTAACAACTCCAGTGAATGACGGGAAGCCCTTTCTTGAAGAGGTGAAAATTATAAAACTACACCAAAATACCATGCAGTCCTGCATCCGGCTTCTCATAGCAGCTAACCGGATACATCCAGGAAGCCCACAAATAGGACTTTGAGGCTACTGTGTTTTCTTTGGATTCTCCCACAGCAACTAGTATTATGTGATATTCTACCTCAGAGTCTCTTCTATAGAACAATGTCTTAAATTCCCCTTTAAAATCATCTGTGTGCAGCCATCACCGTATGTTCTAGCAGTAATTGATATTGCCACTAAATAGAGTGAAGCACATTGATTTAAGATGTCC